CACACTTGGAACAATCAATCGTTGGGAGAACAGAAGGGAAGTGTTTGCACAGGGAGACAATTGGGGGTGGGGGCAGGAGTGCATGGGAGGAAAGGACCCAGGGAAGAGGTAACTACAGGGAGGAAGTGGGAAGAGAGCTGTTACATAGTGGGGAATGGCAGTCAATGACATGGAACAAAATGTGTAGGAACTGCTATATGGAAAATGATTTGCTCTAAAGTTTCATCCCAATCACAATAAAAAACTTAAAGAAAAAAAAAAATGCTGCTTACATCTTTGCAAGCAGCCCTTTTATTAAACTTTCCTTAAATACTTAGCTTGAGTTAACCATCTGCTTCCTGACAGAATTCTGGCTGACACACAAGACTTCTAGGAAATTGCACATCTACCACATATTAAAATATTAGGAGAATACTACAAGATAAATTTAACATCACCAAAGAGAAAGGAAAATGGTGCTCATTTGTTTAGCTGAGCTAATGATTTCAAGTCAATCTGATAAGGTTCCCTACATCTGAATAGGGCTAATCTATCTACCAATAATTATCATGTAAATTTTGTGTCAGACACTGGGCCAGGCACAGGAATATGAAAAGACACAATTCCTGCCACAAGCATTTTACATTCTAGTCAGTGGATAAAGGTAGTGCCTAAGGTACCTGACTGCTAACCAGAAGGCCGGCGGTTCAAAATACACCAGCCACTCCTCTGAAGGAAGTTTGGGCAATCTACTTCCATAGTGACACTGCCTCAGAAATCCAAGGAGGGGTCGCTGTGAGTTGGGTCTGACTTGACTTCACATAACAACAACAATATGAACGGCGTATAGGTTAGTGTGAGATTGAATAGCCTGGGCACAGAGTTCAACAAATCTCCATTCTTTTGGTATCTTTAGGTATTCTTTAGGTACAGGAGTGAAGGTCAAGTGTCCAGATGAGTAGAATCAACCTAGGATTAACTTGTTTCCAATCCAGGCTTTGCCATTTCCTGGTTATATGACCAGGAATAAGTTACTCAATCTCTCTGGGACTCAATTTGCTCATCTGTATGATGGAGATGTTAATGCTAATATCTGTCACCCAGAAGTGTTAAGGGAATTGCATAAAGTAATCCATGTAAAGAACTTAACCTGGTATTTGACCCTTAAAAAGCACTCAATACATGCTAGTTGTTGTAAGTGAAATATGATCAAAGCAGCCAAAGTGAGTTAACTGGAAGTAGGAACTGTAGAAAACTATAGAAAAGTATTTAATGTAATATTTTGTTGCTCCATCCTATATGATTATGATGCTCCCACCAGATGTTAAGATATACCTTTTGAGCCTTAATTTTGAAAAATACAATGAGATATTTGAAGCAAAAGTTGCATATAATTTGCTGGATCCTTCAGGAGACTAACATTTGAGGAAGACATACTCAAGACAGAGGGACCATTTATGGCTATAAAACACACAACAAAGCCAAGTGACTGTTTGGGGCATGTAATACAGATCTCAACTTCAGGAACAGCATGTTTGCATTGTGTTAATTCTGCACTAGAATCAAACGGAGCTAGAGTGTAATGAAGAAAAAGGCATCATGTCTTCAAATGTTTTAACTCCATCTTAAGGAATCACTGGAAACATCTTTATCTCTGACTCTGGTTTCTGCTGAGATGGTATATAGCTCAATTCACATACTGCCCTTTCTCAGCAAGATGTAGAAATTTTAACTTCTGAATAACCCTGTCAATTATTTTGATAGTATGTACATGTACATCTTGATTGTAAGATGCAAACCAATTTTAGAAGCATTCAAATGTGAGTCAATCTCTGCCTTAGAATTGAGAGAAAAAAGTACGTGACATAGAACAAATGTGGATATTGCTATTACTGAAACACTACCATCACTCACCTAGGAGCTCTGGTGGCATAGTGGGTAAGGCATCTGGCTGCTAATCAGAAGGTCAGTGGTTCAAACCCACCAGCTGCTCTGTGGGAAGAAGGTGAGACAATCTATTTCCGTAAAAATTTATAGCCTTGGAAACCCATTGGGGGTTGCTATGAGTTGGGATTGACTCCCTAGCAGTGGGTTTACCACCATTCATTAGGAATTTAAACCATTTTTAGTCAGACATTTGGATAATATCTATAAAAGATGACAAAGAAGCAGATGTTACAGAAATCTGACATTTTTCTGTATTTAATTTTACAAATCCTTCATTTCTGTGTGTTGTGGTTACCTAGTGCCACTCTGACAAGAATATACCACAAATGGGATGGCCTTAACAAACAGGAGTTTATTTTCTTACAGATTGGAGGCTCTAAGTTCAAGTTCAAAGTGCCAGGCTCTAGGGGCTGGGTCAAAGCCCCTCAACCTTGGGGTCCAGCTCTGCCTCCTGCTCCTGGCCCAGTGGAGCAAGAGGCATTTCTTCACTCAGACAGCTGCTGGCTGCTGAGGCTGAGAAGTCCCAAGGTTGACAAGTAAAAAGGCATAGTCCTGATGTTACCAAACCACATGTCAGGCCATTAACTTAAGTCTATTGTAAGTCCCAAGGTCAGCAGAGCATGTAGCAGGCTGCTGAACAATGACATGACTATGAGCAAGGTCCAAGCGTGCCATAGGCTAGAGACCATTCCCAAAGCTGCTGCATATATGCGGGAAGCAGACCACATCCCAAAGGCAGCTACTCAGCTGCTCACAGTAGATTCCACCATGGAGTGGATCACCAGTCTCATCATGGAGAATATGACATCCAGCTGCCAAGCCACTCAACCAGGCCTAGCCAAGTTGACACAAAAGCATAACCACCACACTGTGTATACTTTTTTCCTCTGGTGGCATAGTGCCTAAGGCATGTGACTGCTAACCAGAAGGCTGACAGTTCAAACCCATCAGCCACTCCTCAGAAGGAAGATTAGGAATTCTACTTCCATAGAGATACAGCCTCAGAAACACTGCAATTGCGTAGTGCCTAACGCATTTGACTGCTAACCAGAAGGCCGATGGTTCAAACCAACTAGCTACTTCTTGGAAGGAAGACTGGACAATCTACTTCCATAGCAATATTGCCTTGGAAACCCAAGGAGAGGTCACTCTGAGTCAGATCTGACTTGACGGCAGTGATGTGGTGGGTTTTTGGTATTTTCTCAGGTAACTGGTTTTAAGAGCACCATTTTCAATTAGAATGTGTTATTTGCTTCCAAAATGAAGACATACAAACTAGGTTCCCTCTACCAGTGGATGTGGAGCCAGGCCCTACAGAGTCTAAACCACTCTCAAGGGTCCTCATGCTGTTCCACAGGAGCTCCCAAATGGGGTTTGCTTGTAAAATACAAAAGCACAGTCTCAAAAAGAGACTGAATTGCTTGATGATTATGCAAAAGCCAGCTAACCCTACAGAGGTAGATGGCTTAACTGTTTTTTTTTTTTTTTACTTTCAATCTATGATTTTATATAAATGGCAAATTACCTCTGCCAAGAACTCCTGTTGGCTTGTTCACCGTGTTAACTGAGCTGTTGCATCTGAACACAAGTTTAGTAGCACCAGTCCTTCAGTGATTAGATTAGGCAGGTTTGTAGTTAAACCTTTTTTTTTTTCTTTTTAAACTACTTAATAAGCTGATCATTATAAATACTGATTTTTATACTTGAGTTCTCAAGTCTGATGCTCAATGTGACATCTGGTTTATCACACAATAGTTTCTGAACTAAGCTTGTAAAAGGATCTCACTGTCTCTGGAGGTTTAAACAGCACATCTGTTTATACCATGAATCTGCTACAGAACCCCCAACACGGAAACTAGGTGACATTCAGGAAGCTCAAAGCAAGAGAACATTCAGAAACTTTTATTCTGAGAAAGGACAGAGGGTTTATAAATTTTATCCTGAAAATATCTGACCAAAAGTCTAATGTATAACCATTCTACACAATAATACACATTTTATTTTAGGCATGTTCTTTCATTAAACCCTCTCTGAAGCCCAAAGAAGTCCTAGTGGTGCACTGGTTAAGCGCTCAGCTGCTGACCAAAAGATCAGTGGTTTGAACCTACTGGCCTCTCCATGGGAAAGATGTGATAGTCTGCTTCCATAAAGATACAACCTTGGAAACACTATAGGGCAGTTCTAATCTGTCTCTGTAGGGTCATCTGAATCAGAATCAACTCAACAGCAATGGGTTTGGTTTTGGTTTTGGTGGATTCCAAATTTCAAGCTAGAGATAGTAACTTGTCTAAGGTCACATTAGAAAGAGACAGGGATCAGAAATGAATCCAGTCTGTCTACACTGTCTCGAGATTCTTTCCACTTCCTCATTCCAGGATTATGTAAGGGTAGCACAGCTCTAGCACAATCAGAGAGAACAAGTAGTGAAAATATTTTAAGGATCTTTGATCCATTATAAGAAGCTCTGATGGCATAGAGCCTAAGGCATTTGACTGCTAACAAAAAGGCTGGGGTTCAAACCCACCAGCCACGCCTCAGAAGGAAGACTGGGCAATCTACTTCGATAGAGATACTGCCTCGGAAACCCAAGGAGGGGCTGCTATGAGTTGGGACCGACTCGATGACAATGAGTTTTGTTTAGTTTTGGATCCATTATAGCTGTCAGAGGCCTGGGAATCTTCTAGGTAGAGAATTCTTCATCATTGACTTTGTTGAAAGAGACCAGGCTTTCAAACAATTAGAGAGATGGAGGAGAGAATTAACCCTAAGGTCCTCAAAAATTCTTGCAACCTTGATATTTAATATTCTAAGCCCAAATCTAAAGTGGTTTGATAACCTCATCTTATCAACTTGAAAAACCTAAGAAAGACCAATGAATTCTGTGACCACCCAAAAAGCTCAGGTCCAGAAATGGAATCCACTTTTAATCACTCCAGATAATCAGAGGCCTTCCCAAAGGAGAGGACTGCTGGACCTACGTGGCTAGAAATTAAATGAGATTTTTGCCAGATTCGCCACCTCTGGATCTGCATAGGGAGCTCTGGTGGCATACTGCCTGTGTTAGATTGGGTTCTCTAGAGAAGATACTCGCTTACTGTACTGTATGTGCAAATGATGCACTTGTAGACTTGCTCATTATCCCCAGCTCTGGTGTGGTGCTTCAGATGCTCAGTATAGTGGTCATATCTGTTGGTATTATAACCACAGCGGTCACAACAAATGGGGCCCTTGAAGAAATCTCCCTCTTCTGCAGTGGAACAGCCATATTCCCTGGCTTTTGCTTGTTTCTCTGCACTTTCCTCTACAAAAAATTTCTTGGCACTATGAACTCTGATGTGATGCACAAACTGTTCTTCAGACTCTGCTTCATACTGGCATGGCTTACAGCAGAAAGGTTTGGTTTTCAAGTTCTTCCACTTGTCCTCTGTTCCAGGTGTTTCAGTAGGAAGATCTTTATTTGCACTCTTAATTTCTGGGGCAGCAGATACCTCAAATACAGGTTGAAGTTCTACGACACCGAGTTCCAAACTTTCCAGTTCCATATTTTCCAGTCCATTCGGTTCACCTTTTACATCAGGAGACTCTTCAAGTACTTCTGCAACACTATCTGAAAAGTTGTTATCCCCAATAGGCATCAACTCTGCCATTTGTCTTTCTTCACCAACCAAGTAATCACAGCAGTTGCCATTTACTTCCCCAGTCAAAGCCACATTTGCCAACATAAGCTGAGGCGCAGCCAGTTCTGCTTTAGAGAGGTCATGCAAGTCATACATGTCGTTAGGCAAGGTCATGCCAATGTTGGCATTACTGGTAAATAGCCCTCCTCCTCCTCCAGAAGACTGTCCCATTACTTGGGTGGCTGTAACCATATTCCGCCTAAACAGGAGAGGAGGAGCAGCCGACCCAGCGTCGCCGCTCCTTCTCCAACTACTTTTCTTTGTTGCTGGAGTTTCGGAGGAATGGGGGGAGGGCAGAAAAGTTGGGCGATGGGGCCGTCGAGGCCCGCAAAGGCCCAGGAGTGGGGCTGCAGAAAGTGCTCAGGCCGCTGGCCCTCGCCCTGCCGTTTAGACCACCGCTGCCGGGGTCTGGGGCCCGGGGCCTCATGGTGCTTGTTCTGCCACTGCGCCGTCAGCTCGCGGGAGCCGCAGATTCCAGCACAGGAGCCTGCGACACGCACCCGGCCCGTGCGGCCGCCACCGCCCGTGAGCTGACGGCTCAGTGGCAGAACAAGCACCGCCGAGGCCCCGGGCCCCAGACCCCGGCGGCGCCGGTCTAAACGGCAGGGTGAGGGCCAGCGGCCTGACCACTTTCTGCAACCCCACTCCTGGTACCAAATGTGTTAGACTGGGTTCTCTAGAGAAACACAAAAACCAGCAAAGCGTATATATATATTTATAGAGAGAGTGAGAAAGAAATTTATCTTAGGAAAATGGCTCACAAGCCTACAGAAGCTGGTAAGTCCAAGTCTCTGGAGGAAACGGGCTGGCAGCAGCCTTAGCTTCCATAAGCGCAGGGGCCCAAGGAATTCAAGGCTGGCAGGCAGTACACTGGTTGTTGACTCCAACAAAAGACGAATCCAAGATCTCCAGGCTGAGTGGTGGGCTGCTCACTCACGGAAGTCTGTAGTCCGCACATCAGGGTTCCAATCCCTCAAAGAATGTGTCTCCTCCCAGGATGTCCCTGGATATCTTGGAAGCAGGCCACACCCCTAGGGAAACTCCCCTTGGGCAGACTGGCCACTCAGAACACAGTCATCTGATCCCATCATGGGAACAACCACACAGAACTGGGGTCCAGCCAAGTTGACACACAGCTCCAACTATCACACTGCCTAAGGCATTTGACTGCTTAACCAGAAGGCTGGTGGTTCAGACCCCCCAGCCACTCCTCAGAAGGAAGGTTGGGCAATCTACTTTCATAGTGATACTGCCTCGGAAACCCAAGGAGGGGTCACTATGAGTCGGATCCGACTCGATGGCGGTGGGTGGGTGGATCTGCATTCCCAAGCTTAGTCCCAAATGAAATGCTGGCAAAGAGTGTCTAGTTCCTTTTCCCTTCACTTGAGTCTCCCCTAAGGTTAGGGAAGAAAAGGATGAGAGTCACTGCTTTGGCATAAGCACTGGCCTAGACCAGGTCAAAGTTGAGGAGCTTCCTATCCTAGAATTGCTGTATGTGGATCCCAGGGTTAAAGGCCACTGTGTCCACAAGGCAAAGCCTCTTGAAGGTTGCCCTCTTTGGAGTCCTCTCTAGGAGGACTGAAGCCTCCTAAAAAAATAGGTTTTTCTTATAGCCCTTTCTTGCTGAATTTTATCCAATAAAACTCCTTGTTTCTTTCGAGATGCCAGCAAGCCAAAGTGAGTGCTCTGCCCTGGAAAAGTCACATACAAACTAGGTAATCATGGAGAAAGGAGACATGGGGAAGAACTTTTGGGTCTTCCAAGTCTAGGCAGAGAACTCCTCTTGATTCAGACCGGCTATCTTCAGCCAGGGCCTGCAGGATGGGGATTGAGGCCAAACACTTAGGTAAACGAACTCTGTCATTTGCTTCTGAGCACTCAGTAAGTCGGAATAAATACTTGTTGAATGAATGAAGGGGTAAATGAATATGCCTAACCATAGCCTATTAAGGATCTAGAGAGGTGGCTGTAGCCACATTCAAAGACTGTGACCCTAGCTTCCAACATACATGTCTATCATTTGTATCTGTCACCTTCATGGCTAGAGACTCTCAGATTATTACTCAATGATATCAACTTTCATCTGCTTTTGTATGTTAATTTTATAAAAGGACAATAAATAGCGAGTGACAGGGAGGGGTGGGCAAGTCATTTCTATTTCTCTGAATGTAAGAGTCTGACAATGAGGCATTTGTACCAGTTACTCATGTCTGTCCACAGTGCCCTGCTATAGGTTGTTTCCAGCTCTTAGTCCCCAGGAACTTGGCTTGAACTCCCACATACTTGTTTAATACCTGCATAAGGGGGGTGGGGCTTCTAATAACACTTAGGGACACCCAGTTCTGACTCTGTAGCAGTCCCACTGGTGGTACAAAGACAACTTCCCTAATATCTGTTCTCACTCTGGGTGGCACAAATGGTTAAACAGCTCAGCTGCTAATGGCTGGAAGTTTGAGTTGACCCAGAGGCACCTTAGAAGACAGGCCTGACAATCCACTTCTGAAAAATCAGCCTTTGAAAACCATATGGAGCTCAGTTCTACTCTGACACACCTGGGGTGACCATGAGTTGGATGGACTCAATGGTAACTGATTTGGTTGGTACATTTTTCTATATATTCTCAATGATCACAAAACTGCCACTACACATGAGTTGTAAAGTTATTAGTGTTCTGTCCCATGCTGGATGCGTGCTGGACTTTGCTGTTTTTGTGAATCTGAGAAAGATTTGGCAGCATTCTGATGTTGGCAGTAGGTCTGCAATGGAGCAAAGGGCTCACAGTGCAACTACGGGAACAGTGATATTCCCAAGGGGTCTTGGCCATGACCTAGCACTACAGCAGGCCTCATGCAAAGGTTATCATTGTTAAAAACAGCTTCCTGAAAGGACTAGCAAAAAGGGTCAGCTATACTACATTAGCATGATAAGGTCCATCTGTAATTGATTCTTTTTCTGTTTCCTTTTCACATTGATGAAATAATTCAATTTCTCAATAGTCTTTTTTTTTTCTCCTGAAAAATTGGGATAGAAAATATCTTGTCATTAACTTAAAAAAATCTATTTAAATTTAAGTGAAAACTGCTCTAGCTCATTATATTCATATTCTGTAAGGATATATATATATATATATATATACATACATACATACATATATATACATACACACACATATATACATACATGCATATATATACATATACATATATATAGAAACCAAACTCACTGCTGTTGAGCTGGTCTCAACTCATAGCCACCCCTCCTTGGGTTTCCAAGGCAGTATCTCTACAGAAGTAGATTTCCCAGTCTTCCTTCCAAGGAGTGGCTGGTGAGTTTGAACTTCAAGCCCTCTAGTTAGCAGTCAAATGCCTTAGACACTATGCCACCAGAGCTCCTGTATGTCTGTGTGTGTGTGTGTGTATTTGATTCCTTTGTTTTTAAGTTTGTGAAATGTATATATATTATATTTGTATTATATATATACATATATATATATCTGTATGGGAGCTCTGGTAGTATAGTG